TTAGCAAAAACAATGACTTATTAATGAATTTAAGTTGCTGCCATTATTAAAATGCTTTGTATTATTAATGATATATTTTTTAAAAAACAAGTTTAACAAAAAAAATTGTTGTCAATTTAACATATAAATTTTTAAAAAATTATGTATGGATTTGAATTCTATAAGGATGAAGATTTAAGAGAAAACTAAGAAGAAAACAATTCAAGAGAAAGGTGATTTCAAACGAAACGGAAAGTGAATTCATGTAATTGAATTATATTGGGATTTGAATTCTACAATGATATTACATTTTCTATTCAATGATAGTTACCAAATCATATACTATATTCCATCAAGGAAATTGCTTTCATCGTATACAAGTTACCAAATCATTAGCCACGTTCACTTAGTCCGAGTTAATTTTACAATACAATAATTTGTGATGTTTTACATTTTTTATACATAGATAGATGCCTTTGAAAAGCCTTCAAGCTGTAAAACACTACTCAATCGACCATTCAAAGGCTTAGAAAATTGAATGAAGATAGTTTAAATATATTTATTAGTGTTTCTTAAAAGCTTGTGGTCCAACAAATGGATGACTCTAACATGTCACAGAGTGGTTGGAGTCTGCCAAACCTAGGGCTGTAAGTTGGGCAAGTCTAACCCAGCCCAATCTCAACCCGAAATTGGGTTGGGTTGGGCAGCCCGAAGTTTGTTAAAAAATGGATTATGTCCATAACCCGGACATAATCGAACCCAAATATTTGAACGGATTTGGCGGGTTTTGCTGGTCAATTTTTTTTTTTTTTTTTTTTCTTACAAATATACAAATTACATTTTTCTTTTTCCATGAAAAAATTTAAGGAAATTTTATTTTTCAATTCATTAATATTTGCCATTTTTCTTTTAATAAATACCTAGAAGTGCAATTATAGAACATCCATAAACATACCATTTTTCTGTCTGTTACAATTAAAAGAATGCAAGAATTGTTTCTTTTGAGTAATTAAAAAAATATCTATACAATAATATGCAACTTTATAAATTTTTTATATTATTTTTGAAACTCTTTTAATTTCATTTGATATTGGAATATCATTAAAATAAAAAAATAATAGTTTAAAACTAATAATTATTGTAATATATTAAATAAATTATATATAAATTTTATACCACGAATTTTCATTAAATTCATATTATATCCATATACATACAGAGGCGTGTTTTTGTGACTTGCATTTTTTATGCCGAATTTTTAAATGTACTTTGTTTTATATATATATATATATATAAATTAATTATACTATCACGCAGCTTTGTTTACTGTACCATATTTAGCTACAATCCAAAGTTAAAGGAAATGAATGTTTATCTATTTTTTTTTTTTTTTAATAATAAAAAGATTTTATGATTTGTCTCTTTATTTTTCCAGTCAATTTACAAGACTTTATTTCCCTTTTTACTTATTTTTCCTAAAAATAACTGGAATAATTGGAAAAAGGCTTCCACAAAACAACAACAATGTTTGAGGGCTCGATTAATTAATTTAATTCAACTAAAAATTAAAAAAATTACGAAAATTTGTTAGGTTCACAAATTTTGAAAACTTAATTAAGTAAAAGTCATTCTGATTACAATATTATAGTATAATATATATACATATATATTGTGTTATTGAGATTTGATTTGAAAATTTAAAAGCAAACAGGCCTTCAAATTTCCATTTGAGAAGCATGAACAAGTTAGGGTTGGATTGTAGAATTGTTTAATTTGGGGTTTTGGGTTGGGTTCGGATTGAACCCAGCCCAATCTGAACAAGTTTGGGTTTTGATAAAACTCAACTCAATTTGAGCCGAATTTATGAATTTAAAAGCCCAAATTTTAAAATTTTTGTGTTGGATTCAAGTTGGGCTAGGTTTGCCCACCCAAGTTGCACCCCACCCTAACCTCATTTATTTTGTAGAAAACAAGTCTTGGGAGTGGGCTGGTACACGCTTAATGGAACCGGAGGTCCGAAAAACCTGACCGGCCGATTCAGCAACCATGCTTTGGATAGGAGATAATCTTTGTTAATACTCCACAACTTTATTTTATCATCTCAAATGTTTACATTAATCTCAAAAAAATTGGATTAATTTGAAAAAAGATTAGATACAAGTACAACATGGATATGTCAAAAAATATAATATAATATATATATTTTTGTCATTTTATTCATATAATCATAAATAAATTGCTAATTTGGAATTTGGAGCTAAATGTTTGTTATTGTTGTTTTGTTAAATTTTATATTATTTTTTTAATTAATCCACAATATATTTTAGATTGAATTGAATTGAATTTTTTTTTAAAAATTATTACAAAATCACCTGTCATATTTTGAAAGTATTCAAAATGTATCATTACTATGTCCATGTTGTGTCTCAGTCGTATCTGATGCAAAAAAAAAAAAAAAAAAAAAAGAAAAAGAAAAAACCTATTTAGATACTTTTAGCTGTCGACAGTCATATTTATGTATCCAAAAAGTGTCGGAATGTTCAATACTATCACGGCACTTTAAGAGAAGTATACGTACTCTTAGGTTCACAGGTACGATGATTTAGCTCAACTTTTATTTTTAAGTCTCCAAACGAAACAAAGACTGGCAGTGTATGACTTAATGTTTTGTAAGGCTTTTGGGTTGTACCCTTCTTGTCGTGGGCTACAGGTTTGGACCAATCCAAGTTTGTTTCTGGCTGGTTCTCTTAGCCCAATGACCCTAAACCCAGCCCAATCTAATTTCTTTGTTTACTACTGTATTAATTTCTTGCTCCTCTTTTTTTTAATGTTTTTTGGGATAACTGATAAGTAGTTGAAAAAGGCATAATTTGCCATTGTTGTAGAAATTTCATCAACAATGCCATTCACGCACTGTAAAAAAAAATAATAATAAAAAAAGGTTCTGCAATGGCATGTAATCAAGGGTGAAGAGTTGCAGTCTGAGTAGCCAAAAAGCATGCTATTGCAGCATATATATATATATATTTTAATCGATCATTACTTATGAATCTCACACTGAGCTAAAAAAAAAATACAAAATTATTGGATGTTTATAAAAATTTAATTCGTAAAACTAATTTGATGTTTTACGAATTGAATCGGATTGCTTTAAGACACTGGTCGAATCATATTGGTTTCAAATTTTATGAATCTGTTAGGGTAGTTTTAATGTCATGAATAATTGGAACCATGTGCACTCCAACCATTCGCCCTTGGTAGGCCTACAAGTGGTATGCATAATGGAGCAATCATGTAAAACCACACTTGCAACTTTGTTTCTTAAATTTTAAACTATCATGAAAAAAAAAAAAAAAACAAAAAAAACAAAAAAATTTGAAAAGAGAAAAGCTCATGCTATTTATATAATATGTATTTATATAAATATATGGGTCAAATGCAATGAATCTAGTAAACTACTGCTCTTTTACAAATAACCCTCAAGTACAAACTATTCCCCTAAATTAATAATTTGTTACAATTAAAGATAAACCATCACAAAAACTATTTTACTATTTTTCATTAAATTTTCATTTTTTTATTAAATTATTTTTATTATCTTTTTTCTAATCTAAATTTTAATTACTATTCACGGATGTTACCTGAAAGGAAATTGAAGTATAAATTGACTTAAATACTCATTAGGCCTATTTGAAAATCTACTTTGTGAGTGCGTCTTAATTAATTATTTATTTATTAAATAACTTAAACGACATCATTTATAGAAAGTAACACTTATATTATTATTTTTTAATATGTTAACATTTTACTAGAATGTGAAGTTCACATTAGTCACATGGAAGGAATAGATTTTTTTATTAAAAAAAAAAATTATTTTGAAATATAAGAAGAGAAGAAGAAGAAGAAGAAAAACATGTAGGCATAAATAATATAAAAAAAGGAAAAAATGTAGGCATTATTTCTCGTAGTGTCCCTTTAACAAATCTATATAAAATGGAAATCAACAAAAACTAAAGAAATTAATGCAAAATATAATTCTCAAATATATATATATATATATATATATATATATATATAGCAGATGAACTATAGGTCTGAAAGTTGGACAGAAATGCAAATATAGTATAAACAATATTTAATGGTACATATTATATATACCGTTATATTATTACACATATTATATATAATATTATAATGGTTAATATAATGAATATATATATATATATGGGTAAATAAAAGAAGTTAAGCAAAAAGACGAGTACGTGTTGCTACAATGGTGGATGATATGCTGCTAAGAGTGATAATGGAGTAAATATATATGTGGGGGTATATTAAAATAGGTACATAGACATTTTTATCTCAAAAATATATGAGAAAACTCAATATCCAAACAGTTCTCTTTCAACTAACTTCTGTCAGTTAAATTACGGGGGTTTAATGCAGTTTACCCTTTTAATTATACCATTTATTTAAAATTTATTATTAGTATCAATTTATTACAAAAAAAAGAGTTATAACTGTCATTTTCTAAAATGATTAACTATTAAAACTTTATTATTTATAATAAAAATTATTATACTCGGTTTAAACTTTTTAACCTTGAAAATACTCCTTTTTATTTTTTATTTATTTATTTATTTTTCATACAATCTGTTCACGAAAAATTAATAAATTACTTAATTAAATAACAAATACATTCTTTTACAAGGAATACTTTCATGAAAATAAAAAAAATTACTTCTATTTATTTAAAAAAATTTACTTAAGATTTTTAATGAAACAATTAATTTTAAGATTTAAAAGTAAGTTTATGAAAATTGATACTAATAACGGGTAGGAGTTCAAGTTTTTGGCTCCTTCCAAAAATTGCTATTAATTCCAACAAAGTGCAAATCGACCTATCAATATACATATTTTTTTGCCACACTCCTCAAATTGTTAAAAGAGAATCTGATCATTTTAAATTTATCCATCTAATTGGATGCTTAGTTAATACATAAAGAAAGCACCAAAGCAGGGGAAAAATTGAAAATTTCAAGATAAATAGGCTTATCTTGAAAAGTATATAGATACATTGATTTTATTTCCAAATAAAACATTGTTTCAAGAGTTGATCATAGATATGCAAGATAAGAATCTTTACTGATGAAATGTGCGTGATTGGCGTTCACAAGCCAGTGCGACATATATGGCTTAGAGAATAACTTTTTCCTTTGAAGGAACTTCTTGAACCAAAATGCAGAGCATTTGGGGTATCTTCTTAAACCATTCTCAAAATCTACATAATTTATACCAAACCGAATACTAAAACCATAGTTCCATTCGAAGTCGTCAAGAAATGACCATACAAAGTAACCTTTCACATTAGCTCCTTCCCTGTGAATAACCCATCTTTGTCATTAGTAATTTTCATGTAATAATAAACATTACAAAAGATTTTATACTTGTTTAAAATAAATATATATTATTATAGTAGGTAGACTATTTATGGTGATTGTGATGTAACTTTTGTATGTAGGTAAACTATTTATTTCGTTGTTGGCTACACATCGCCTTGAGAGACATTGTAATTGCCGTTTTCACTGTACTCTTCCATTTTATGATAATAGTGAAATTGGTGTGAGCCGTGGACATATACAATCTTGGAGAACCACACAAAAAATGTTTGTTATCAACATGTCTGTGACCTAACGGTATAAGATTTCTACTTCTCAAAGGGTGGTCAGGGATTCGAATATCAGTGAAGACAGTGTGTGTGAGTCACAACTAGAATAAAAAGAAAAAAAAAAATGTTTGTGTTGTATTTCTTTTTGTTTTGTTTTGTTTTGTTTCATGCCAAGCGATTTGATTTTGTAAATTGTTTTGTTACTTGTTCTCGTGTGGTTGTTTGTTTCCCAACACTCACTAACGTACAAGATATCACTTTTCAACTTTTAAGCTAGAGAACAAGTGCCCGGTCCGTTGCAAGATACCACTAGATGGTCCTTGTAGTTATAAATTTTGATCTTACACATTCAAAATCCTCATGTTTTTATTTACTATTCATCTCAGTAAAATAGCAAAAGGTGGCTGTTGCTTAATAATAAAACAAAGTTAGCTATTCGGTTTTTCACTTATTTATTTATTTAATGAATTAAGGATGGGTTATTTAAATCAATAGACTAATCACCCTAAACGATTGATTTTAATTTTTAGTTTAAAATGTGATGCATGAAAAGATGGCTTAGAATTCGGTATGCCATTTGCAAATACTCACTTGATGGCTTTTGAAAGATATGTTAGATGGCCATGGTGGTACATTATCCTCAAGTTATCCTTCAAGGCTTCTTCAATTGGTAAAGTGCTATTATTTGCATCTGCAACCCCTGTAACAAAACAGAATATAGTTTAAATTAATTGTCTAAAAATTTATGTGGACATTTTTTTTTTTTTTAGTCTAGTAAGTAATAGGCACACACTGTAGTATCTCATCTGAGATTATATGAATAAGAAAAGAAATGAAAATGATTTACCATTTTCCGTAATGACAATAGGTGGATTTCCATAGTTATCTTTTATATATAGCACAAGCTCTCGAATCCCTTTTGGACACACGTGAAGCCAGCTCAAATCAGTCTACAAAACCATTCACATTATCATAACACATGTATATTTATGTATAACAAATGCTGTAGTTGTCACGAGTTCTCTGATAATTGAACAAATATTGAGAGGTTTAACCAATTTAAAAAAGGATTGTATGGGAATTATGTAATCAACTAATTCATTATTAGTATTTTACATTTTCCTTCTTCTGACTTTTTCGTTTAGCAAATCAAATTATCATCTTTGATTATCTCGTACAATTTTGTTTATAGTAGTACTTTGAGCCCTTTTTTTTTTAATTTTTTAATTTATTATTTTTACATTGAGATCAATTTAAAAAATATTGTACGTGATGATGTAACTTGTGTACTAATATATTTTGTGCTTAAAATGTGCTAATTTAAAGGAGAACTCATGAGAACTACTATGAAGTGAACTCTATGATAATAGAGAGTATTATTCTTTGTGGGATTATGCTGTGTGAGAGAGAGAGAGAGATTGAGTACCGGAGGACAAATGGGAACTCCATTTTTCTCGTCTGTGAAAAAGGGAAAAAGATACATTTTCCATAAGCATTAAAAAAATTAACCAAAAGAATGAAAATAAAAAAGGACCAAGTTCATCAAGGTATATTTCTCTGAGCTTACTTGATGATATAACATGACTATCTGTTGTCACGCTCAAGTTCATACTCGGTGGAAGCATACTATTGGCAATATAATGTGAAGTGTAGTAATTTATGCCAATAAAATCGTAAGAATTTCTCAGCATCTTAGATTGCGTCTTAGTAAATTTTGGTAGTCTATTTTTCACCAATGACCGCATGATCTCAGGATATACACCATATGTAATTGGATGTAAAAACCTACAAAATTATAGCTTTGAAGTATTAAAACTGCAAAAGATAGTCATTCAAAACACATACCGGCAAAGGAAGTTGGTATCAAAGTGACAGGAAATTCTAGAATATCAGGGATACCATACTCTCGAGTCTCCCAGTTGTTAGATGTGGAAATGGAGCCTACCTAATAGATGATTCAATCACTGGAAGACCTCGGAAGTACGGTGCAAAAGATAGTCATTCAAAACACATATACGCAAAGGAAATTGGTATCAAAGTAAAGGAAAATTCTAGAATACCAGGGGTAACGTACTCCCGAGTCTCCTACTCGTTAAATGTAGGATGGAGCCTCCCTAATAAATGATTTAATGACCCAAAAAATCTCGAGAGAGAGTACGGTACTAGAGTAAAACTTCTCAAAAGTGAATGTGCCCGTGTAGCACTAGTCTCGTCATAAAAGAGAAGGGTACGCTTACCATCCCAACATGAAATCAAGAGCCCTTAAAGCAGCCTTTCGATCCACGATATTTTGGGAAATTGGCATAAACCAACTCGACGATAATATGACCCCAATTTGGCCCTTTTGGGAAGCCTGCAGTAAAATGTGCAAAAACTTTGGTACTCAACAACAAAAATAATATAATGACACAACATTTACTATAAGTTATAAATATAGTTTATTTGATTTAGTACTTTAAAAACAGTTTATTATTTTTTAAGACTTGAAAATAAAAAATTTGTACTTAAGTTCACGATACATTCATAGCGATACTTAATTTCATCTTACTAATATTGATTGAAAAAAGGTATATTAAATTAGAATTAAATCTATAATTTTTTACCTGTTTTTAAAAGTGTTTCACCATTTGATCAATGTACTAAATTCTAGTTGTAACGCTAAACTGTTAGAATTCAAGTAAAAGGACGCCACTTCATAAAATCTTGGAAAACTTGGTAAAGCCCTAAACTCTAGGGGTAAGTTAATTATTTTATTTTTATTTTTGTTAAAGCAAACATAAACACTCATTATCCACACGTTTCAAACTCTTAAAGCCTTTTGATAACTAGGGAGTGATAGGTTTTTTCAATCCACTAAAGTGCATGGAAAGAGAAAATGTTTTGACAGAAGTGTTTAAATTTATTAGCGCTTTAAAGCTAATGCCCCCAAAGGTTTAAGCCGATTTATTGGGTTGTGCAATCCAAGGCCCTTGATGAGTTGGAGTGGGATCCACATCTTGTAATGGCTGATAAATTATCATCAGACTCAAAAGTTTAAAGGGCAAATTTCATTTACCTTCCTTAGGGTTTGTCAATATTTTACATAGACCCCTCATTATATTATAATCTTACTTATCTTTTCTAAGTTTTTGGTTCTCTTTGCCGTTAGGAACCTGATGGAACAAACAGGATTTGCTAATCTTAGCCGCAGAAAATTAATAGAAGGTCAGTTTTGCCCTTCTAAAGTTTAAAATGGAACAAACAGGATTTGCTAATGTTAGCAACAGAAAATTGATAGAAATTCAGTTTTGCTCATCTAATGTCCAAAAATGACAACAATCGATCATTTCATGAGTAAAATGGTAAAATAATATAGTATCGTTATTAAGTTGGACGACTTTCACTAACAGGAGAGGTAAGTGGGATTATGAAATATAGAGGGGGTCTTTGAGGGATGTTGACAAACCTTAGGGAAGGTAAGTGAAACAAGACCTATTATTATCCTACTATCTCATGTGATACAAGACCTTTGTGACATTTTACACCATTCAAACTCCCAACATATTAATTGCGCTTGGGTCATACTCCTTGTTTACTCATCCGCCATAATAGCTGGATAACCCATTAATGACATGGACCTAAACACTTTCGGGTAGGTGCTTAGCGTGATACCGAATAAAAGTTAGTCGACTTTGATACCACTTATAATAGGTCAAACGTTTGTCATCCAATCTAAATGTCCCACTCCAAGGCATCGAAGGACCTTGGATTGCTAAGCACCTAAAAACCATTATTCTACAACCTTCATAAAAAAACAAACCTTGTATCCCTCCCTGTACAACTTCACAGCTGCGCCATGCGAAAGGAGTAGGTGGTGGCCAACTATGTAGGGTTCGGTTGCCGAGTTTCCAGACGTACAATTTCCAATGTAGTTAGAACATCGACCGGGTGCATACAAACCATTGCCATATCCAAATACAGAAATTTCGTATGGTTCATTCAATGTCAGCCAATGCTTGACTCGATGGCCAAATGTTCTGAAGCAAAAGTTCGCATAGTCGCGAAAATCATCCCTGTTCATCATTATATATAATCTTATAGTTATTGCATGTGTGTGTAGACAATGCGGTGTATAGTTGTATATAATTAATTTGTTAGTGAATTCAACCTACACAATATTTTGGCTTAAGAATCCACCATAGTCATCAATTAGGGCTTGAGGAAGATCCCAGTGAAATAGGGTCACGTATGGCTGCAAACCTATAGGGAAAATTTAATGAAAAAGAAAGAAAAAAACAGTCCAATATTACAAATTATAGCAAACTATATATACATAAAGTAGGAGTTAGATTAGATTATCACCGTTGGATAAGAGGTTGTCTATGAGATCGTTGTAGAATTTCACACCTAGTGGGTTCACTCCTCCACTGATCTTACCACCTGAGAGATAAGAAAGATGATAATAATAATAAATGAAATATCAAACTATTGTTATCATTTTAATGGAAGAAATGTTGATAAAAAAGATAATTCAATGTCCCAGGCCCCATTCACATATAAACGGTTGTGATCAAATCAAGGGATGATCTTACTAGGTAATACTCTGGGCCATGAGATGGAGAATCTGAATGCATCCAATCCAATCTCTTTCATTTGAATTATGTCCTCCTGTGCAACAGTAATTTAGGATTGTTATTTATCCAAAAATAAGAAATAAAAAAACATAATTTCTAATTCATGATTGTTTTGTTGCATATTACCACCTTTTTTTATTTTGTTTTGTTTTGTTTTGTTTAGGCGTGTAAGAATTGTGAATCCTCAAATAATAGTATACTAAAGAGGATTAGAATTCGAACCATACCTTGTACCAACCATAGAAGTCATCTGCTACATCACCCGTGCTGTGGTCCGCAATTTTTTCTGTCATGTCAACCACAAGTTTTGGAAGAAAAAAAATCAGCACCATACTACATCTGCAAAAATTTATGACTAATTGGCGGCATATATTATGTGGGCCACTACAATTAATTTCATCCGATTTTCATTAGATATAAGAGTCATAAGACTAAGTGGTATTAGAAATTGATAAGAATAATGCTTGGGTCTAATTCAAGTTGGATCAACTTGTTGATATAGTTCAATAGATTTAAAACAAGTATTCAAAAGTAAAAATTAGGATTTAAAATAGGAAAGATATTACCCAACTTTTGCTTTTGGACGGGTATTTTATATTTAATTTTAACACTTGACACAATTTTATTAGGCCATATTAACTTTATTTAACCTGAATTGGACCCAAATATTGTTCAATCGATAAAACCTTGCATTTACTCCTAACTTTTATTTACTTTGCTGACTTTGTATCAAGGTTGATATATACCTACTTAGAGATTAGTTGATGATTTTTACTAACTTGACTGTGTCCTTTCACATATATACAGGTTGTAATTACAAAATGAGAAAGTAATAGAAAAAAAATTACATATATATTTTTTGAAATAAATTCAGCCAATGTAAATATTTTATTTATTTATTATTTTTATAATTATTTAATTATATATCATATGTGTATTTGTGATTCAACCGAGCAAAAATTATCTATTTTTATAATTATTTAATTATATATCATATCTGCCACGTTTGTTTCTGACTCCTCGTTTCTCTTTTAAACCTAATATATTGGCAGATTAGGTTTATATATATATATATATATATATTGAGGGGGCTCATGATTCGGTGTTATGAGACATCAGCACATGATCACTATAAAAATACGTGTGTGGTGTGTGTGTTTGTGAAGGAGAGAGAGAGGGAGATATACCTGGATGTTTGTGAGTGAAGGTATCCCACATACTGGGTTTTCTACCATCTTCAGATGCTTCTCCTTCATACTGAGGGGATACACAGCCATATGAGAGATTTAATTGCACATATATGTATCTATATATATATATATGTATATGTATATATTATATAGGGAAACAATACACATCCAAAATGCATAAAGTATGGTTTTACTTTGGGACGTTAAGGGGATACTATTGGTACAATTCTCGGATATATGTATATAATAATTTGCGTAGAAGATGGTTTAAATCAATGCTTGTATGAGACAATGAAGTGATCTTTCGTACCTGGTACGACGATGACGATGCTCCGAATACAAATCCATCTGGAAAACTGCTCCGACTGAGTTGAACTGAGTGCTGAGGACTGCATTTTAAACCACCCACAAAGTGAGTCATCAGGGCTAGCAAGCAGAAGAGGAGGGGACTTCTAATTTCCATGAGTGAGATTACTATCTACAATCACTATACAGTTATATTTATATACGCATACACACTGTAACACACACTAGCTTCCCTTCATACCACTTCCCAACTGCCATTCAAAGGGGATTAGCTCAAATGCTCAATATATTAAAATTTTAAGGCATGTCAGAGTATTGATTGAGGAGAGAGACGGATCTTTACAAAGATTTGCTGGATCACGCTCTTCATATAATATGTAAATTAGACTGACATGGATCCCTTACTTTTTCATAATTGAATACTATTTTTATTTATTTATTTATTTTCAATGATCTCTTCTATTATATGTAATTTTGTTACCTACGACCGACAATGTTTTGCAATTTGAACTATTAAAAATACCAATTTTGACATCTGATATTTGTTATTTAATTGAAATGGATCTGAATTCATTGACAATGTAACAATTCGCGTCCCTTTGAAGGTTTGTGGCACTTTGCACTCTAGTCATGGCATTTTTGATGGTTTGGCAACCTCGATAAATAAGGAAAATCTTTTTCAAGACAAATAAAATGAGGTGCGATCATAACAACTCTAATGCATATTTTATTAGAATTTTGGGGTTAAAGGTGTTTGGGTGACACTAGTATAGAAAGTCTAGTGATATAACCCTTTTTGTCCGGCGCCTTTTCATCCAATTGTTAGCCTGCATCTCCGACTTGGGATACTTTTAGCAACCACTAAATTTACCTGTAGCCTCAAAAAACAGGTGCAAATTAATGGAAAAGAAAGACCCTGACCGTAAGAAAAGGAAAGGAAAAGAGAATGGAAGCCAACTCCGAAACCAGACAACTATTCCATCAAATCAAGCGGGAGCTATCACACACAACCACCAAGCTACATTGTCGATGAGGTCCCAAGCACCTCCCTAGTTCAATCATTCATTGAATTAAATCCCAAAAGAAATAAATGAAGAACAAAGCAGAAACAATGTTTGAAGCTAATCAAACAATTAAGTGCCCAGGCCGGCTCGGCTCAATTAATAGGAAAGCCTTAAAATTTTAAAATTTTCGTATAAGCTACACTATAATTATTTTCTAATATTGTTAAACCCCAATAAATATAAAATTTTTATATTAAAGATTTATATATATATATATATATATATATATATATATATATATATATTTATTTATTTATTTATTATTATTTTTTTTTTCAGATTTTATTTTAGAACTCAAATATTTATATCCTAAAATAATTTTTATGACTTCTTTTTTGTCCCACCTTTTTCTACTCTCTCATTTACGTTTTACAATAAATTCTAACCAATATAGAAATTTAATATTATTTTTTTTTCCCTCTTTCTTTCTTTCTTTCTCATTCACATTTTTAAACCATTACTAAAAACATTTTTAGGTAAGTTGCACCTAAAACTAACATATTAAATATCTATTTAATGTTGTTTGGAAAAATGTTTTCTACTCTCTCATTTACGTTTTACAATAAATTATAACCAACATAGAAATTTAATATTAATTTTTTTTCCCTCTTTCTTTCTTTCTTTCTCAATTACGTTTTTAAACCATCACAAAAAACATTTTTAGGTAAGTTACACCTAAAACTAACATATTAAATATCTATTCAATGTTGTTTGGAAAAATGGCAAAAACTTTCCATCTATATATATATATATATATATATTATATTAATATGTTTTATCTTCTTCGTTTCAGCAAGTCTTCTCCTTCTCATCTCATTACAAGTTTACAGTTATTATGAACGCATTTTTATTCTGATGAAAATTTTGTAGAAGTATTAGATTTGGGTTTTCTAAATCAAGTTCAATGGTTTTTTTTCTTTAATTATTTTTAAATTTTATTAATTTTTGTGTATATATATTTGTATATTTTATTTTTTAGCTGTGACTAATTTTATTTATATTGTTAAAAAAGTCATTTTTTATTTTTCGTCTAAGGCTCCAAATTAGATTGAGCCGCCCCTACAAGTGCCCATTTAACATTTACAAGTAAAAAAGGGAGAGAGAAAAGAAACGAAAAGTGAACTCAATTCTCAAACATACACATGAACACCCTTAAACATACTCAAAACACTTGTACAAGGTTCCCTTAATTACCCAAAGGGCCCTTAAAGAATGCTCTCTGGGGATATATATATATATATATATATATATATATATATATATAGTTATATAGATATATATAACTACGCAAACAGTCGACTAACTCCTTGGTCCAAAAAATCTTAGCTACAGGTGGGCACTACAGTCAACTCTTACTCAAACTCCATGAATGATTCTTACTTGTCCATAAGAATAAGGTAGGCATCATTAACATTAAATTTTCACAAAAAAAAAAAAAAAAAAATGATAAAGAGTAAAAAACAATCTGCTATACACAAAATATGCAATTACCCCATGTGGAGGCAAAAATCTCCCCGTTTAATTAAGACAAGACACATTAGCATATAAGGGGACCACCACAAACGTTGAGATTATTCAACCTTCAAACTGGGCTTCTACAAGAAGCTTGGGCTGGGTTAACTAAGCATAATGGGCTGAACTCATTAAGAAGGTCCGAGATGAGGAGACCCCAAACCCAATTATGAATAAATTATTAAACCCATTTTAGTAACAGTTTTATTAGAAGAAGGATAATTGTCTATGGGAACCAAATAATATAAATCCTTGTTATAAGGATAGTATGATTCTTGAGGGACAAACAATGCGAGTCCTAAAAGAAATCGATTATGGTTTTTTCCTATACAAAAAGGGCTTAGGACCCTCAATAGGGGATAGACAGAAAAAAGGGCAAAGCCCCAAATAGAAATCCGAATCTCATCGCCAAAACTACGTTCCGACCTGATTCCCATGCTCCATGAAGCGGGATACGTAGGCAATCTAGGTAATCCTAGGTTCGATCATATCATCAAAATACCCCATCATCTCTATACAATTTCTCTAGTTTGTTGTTGTTTCTCCATTATTATTTTGGGTGTAGTAATTGTAAAGATTTCGTTGACTTGTCAAAGTCGAATGAATTTTTGCATCTACACTTTGGCGCCGTCTGTGAAAACATATAAAAATATACCCCACGAGTGATTAGTTATTTGGCTCAGATCACATTACACCAGTAACGTGATGCATAGGATCTGAACCTATCCCTTTCCAATCACCAAAATTACAATCGTTGTTCATCCAGGTGAAGTCCAATAGTGTCATGTGCGCGTTCAAATTCAGCAAAGTGATTCTCTAGGATTTGAATCTAATACTTTCCAACTGCCAGCCGGTCTCCACACCTGGCAAACTCCGAAGCTCGTGTTCCTCACATGGCTAGATCTTTGCACAACAAGAACAAACGTCCAACCACAACGCACAATACACCAACCAAAAGTCACAACACTTTAAATTAAAATTTCCAACGTGACTTTCATCCATACGAATTCCAGCAACGTGATGCATTCACGAATTCAATAACGCAACTCTCTGGGATTTGAACCCAGCCCTTTTTCAAGCACCACGTATTGATGATTCCATGTTGTGGTAGGCTTTCGAGTCAAGCCAACTAGTCCGTACCCCAAAAAAAATTCCTTATATTTATCACACAAAAAGAACTCCTACTTGACGCATTATTATGGTTGTATAATACTTACTGAATTCTTTAAGAAGCGGTGGATGAAATCTCTTTCCAATTGATGGTATCGGTAGTTGCAGACAAGCGATCCAATCAAAGAGAGTACCCCCTCTCTCCTAGTCGACATCAATAGTAACAGTTTTTCCATTTGATATTTTCCGTTTCAGACACAACGAGGTGATGGGTCTCAGATAAGTTTCCTAACTTGATTTTTACAGTTAAATCTTTATTACAATTTATATATATATACATATATATCAATATTATATATGTACATATATATATATATTTCACACATGATACAATCATGATACATAAAGATTTACGACCCAGTATACTCTATTGTGTAAAAATCAAATTGTTTATTCAGTATACTCTATTGTGTAAAAATTCGTCTTCGAATCTCAAGAGTCCGAGGACTTCAAATTTCCTCTAAGGCACAAAGAATTGTCGAGGAATAAAATTTGTCTTCGGATCTCAAGAGTCCAAAGATTTCAAATTTCCTTCAAGGCACAAAGAACTGTCGAGGAATAAAATTCGTCTTCAGATTTCAAGAGTCCGAGGACTTCAAATTTCCTCTAAGGCACAAAGAGGTGCCGATGAATAAAATTCGTCTTCGGATCTCAAGAGTCTGAGGATTTCAAATTTCATCTAAGGCACAAAGAGGAGCCGAGGAATAAAATTTGTCTTCGGATCTCAAGAGTCCGGGAACTTCAAATTTCCTCTAAGGCACAAAGAGCTATCGAGAAATAAAATTCATCTTTAGATCTCAAGAGTCCGAGGACTTCAAATTTCCTCTAAGGCACAAAGAGCTGCCGATGAATAAAATTACATGAAAATTACTTCGAACTCAAAAGAGTCGAAGGTAAAATTTTCATATTAATTTCCTTTAAGGCATAACAAGCTGCAAAGAGGAATAAAATTCTTTTTTGGATCTCAAGAGTCCGAGGATTTCAAATTTCCTTTAAGGGACAATGAGCTATCGAGGAGTAAAATTCGTCTTTGGATCTTAAGAGTCCGAGGACTTCAAATTTCCTCTAAGGCACAAAGTGATGTCGATGAATAAAATTCGTCTTCGGATCTCAAGAGTCCAAGGACTTCAAGAATTTCCTCTAAGGCATAAAGAGGTGCCGAAGAATAAAAATCATCTTCGGATCTCAAGAGTCCTAGAACTACAAAATTTCTCTAAAGGCACAAAAAGCTGCCCAGGAATAAAATTACATGAAAATTACATCAAACTCAAATAAGTCGAAGGTTAAATTTTCCTATTAAATTCCTCTAAAGGCACAAAGAACTGCCGAGGAATAAAATTACATGAAAATTACCTCGAACTCAAAGAAGTCGAAGGTTAAATTTTCATGTAAAATCCTCTAAGGAACAAAGGTTGGCGATGAATAAAATTATATAAAAATGACCTCGAACTCAAAGAAGTCGAAGGTTAAATTTTCATGTAAAATCCTCTAAGGCACAAGGAGTGCCGATGAATAAAATTACATGAAAATTACTTGGAACTCAAAGAATTCAAAGGTTAAATTTTCATGTAAAATTCTTTGAGGCATAAAGGGTACTGATGAATAAAATTACATGAAAATTACCTCGGATTCAAAAAAGTCAAAGGTTCAATTTTTGTGTAA